ATATTATATAAACAAATATTATATAAAATATTTTCGAAGAAAATTTTTGTTTATAAAGCAGAAAATTTATTTTAAAGCGGAAAATGTTTTTTTATATAGAAAAGAAACGCCATTTTTAAAACTTTTTTGTTAATAACTTTTTAACAAACAAGCGACGGCTAAAATTTGTTGGAAGTTACTCAAGGTTATGATTTTGACAATATAAGTCAAGATCAGAATCATCAGAAGTTAGCTCCTTCTATACTGCATAATATTTCTATTAATGCGCGCTCGCGTGTATGTTTATATATAAAAGAGAGATATAAAAGTAAATTATATAAATAGTATTATACATACAAAGCCGGCAACAATAAGACCACCCATTGTACCCTGTGATGTTACAGATGCAACTGCTATACGAGTAGCTAGAGACCAATCATCAGATCTTGTTGGAAAATTTGGTGTACTTGAAACAAATTTGAGAGAATCTATGCTATCTGCAGGTGATGTGATACATGGCGGAATCTGAAAATATAATCATTTTTATACTTCTGTCACAAATGTGACAAAAATTCATCATTTATCTGTATACTCAGAGACGGATTAGTCTACTGGGGTCGGGCAAATGCCCAGTGAGCTCCCAAGGGAAGAGATTCTTGCAGTAATCCTAAGGAAAGCGCTCAAGAAAAATATTAAAAACACTTTTTTTAAAACCAATATGAATGATTCAATTGAAAAGAATCTTTTTGATTAAGAATCCTAATCCTAATCCCTAAAGATTAATTTTGTCGACATTATTTAATTTTAAATTGTTGAAAATGTACCATTATTAAGTACTTTAAATAAATTACTATTTATTCCTATTTAAATAAAACAAATAAATTGCTATTTAAAATACATGGCACGTTTAAAACATAACTTAAAATATGGAGCTCTTACTAACATTTGCCTGGAAACATTTTTAGTCCCAGTCCACTCTTTTACATACATATCAATCATAATAATACTTTCATAGAAAATACCTCTCATAAAGAATATTTTTTAATTACAAATTCTTGATCAAAGAACCCCGCACAGATCTTATGGAAAATCTCCCTCGTTTAAATTGGTTGGAATTAAAATATGTTGTTGTCCAATATCTTGAACAAAAGCCTCAATGAGCACGACTCCCTAAATTCAATAGTTTTCTGTCCAGAGGCGTTTAAAATGGAAATTTATAATTATACTAAGTTTCTTCATAAACCAAATATATGAATCTCTCTCGCTCTCTCGCTCTCTCCCCCCTCCCTCCCACCTTTCCTCCCTCCCTCCCTTCTTCTCTCCCCTTCTTTTTCTCTGTACAGGGTGTCTGGAAATAATCGCCAAATATTTCAGGCAGGTAGACTAAACCGGACTAAACTGAATCGAAAAGTCCTCTGCCATTTTGTAAGTTTCCCCAATAGTTAATGAGACATTAATCCTTAAAAATAGCCGAATACTACTGCAAAGTGTATACGCCTACCGATCGCTTGGCGTGCGGACCGTGGAGAGCGGATAGCCTGGCAAGCGCCCATGAAATATTTGGCGATTATTTCCAGACATCTTGTATATGTATACATATGCAATACGTATACATATTCATATGCGTGTATACAGGGCTCCAACTTATGGTCTCATCCGTCTTGAGTAGATAGAGCGGACTAAACTGAATCGAAAAGTTCTGTACCATTTTGCAATGGTCGCAATAGTTAACGAGATATTAATGTTTAAAGATAATCAAATACGCGCGTCTGCCCGACCTATAATACTATTACCAAAGGTAACGTAAATATTACTTCAAGTAAATAATAAAAGTATTTTACAATTATATTATCAAGAAAATATTCTTTGTAATGATATAATTAATAATTGTTACTCAAAAGAAGAAGAATAAAAATTGCGTTCTCTCTTAGCAAGAATGATATTTTTCTGCATTTTTCGACACTACCGCTCATGGAAATTCGGACATCCACATAAATTGACATCAAATGAGCGTATAAAAAATTAAGATATAGAATAGTAATTATATTATTCTTGAAATATATTTTAGATCACTTGTATACATATTAACAATTGCAAATGCTTTATAAATTAGTTTTAATTTTGTATGTCAAAAAGTATTATCTTTACTTCGTACAACATTAATATTATATTAATAAATTCAAAAATTCGATCAGAGAACACAAATATGGGCTCACGCTATGGTGTATGTTGCATATCCCCATAAGTGCGGGATAGACTAGCAAAAGTTTTATAAAATATTTTTAATTCAATTTTGGCACATAAAATTAAAAATAATTTATAAAACTTTTGCAATTGCTAATACAAGTGATCTTCTAAAATATATTTCAAAAATAATATAATTGCTGTTATATATCTTAATTTTATACACTATCATTCGATGAAATTTATGCAGATGTCCGAACTTCCATGAGCGGTAGTCTAGAAAAATGCAGAAAAGTAGCATTTTAGTGCTAAGAAAAAACGCAATTTTTATTCTTCTTCTTGAGTAACGATTACAAAGAATATTTTCTTGATAATATTGGGAGTACAAATTAGTTCGGTCCGTTTTTTTGTGCATTTATTTCAAAACAAAATGAATGAACAGATCAATTAAAGTATTGTCCATCGCTGCCTACTACTTTTTCCCATCTCTCAAGCAATTTTCGAATTCCATCTCGAAAAAATGATTCGTCTTTGGAGGCGAATTTTGGAGCCAATTTTCGATTTCTACGAAAGAAGTGAATCGATGACTTGCTGCATCCTTCGGAACAATCGGTAATCAGTAATCAGAAGGAGCAATGTCCAGAGAATACGGCGGGTGCGGTAACACATCCCATTTGAGCATTTTTAAATATTTTTTTACGACTTTAGCGACACGAGGCCGAGCGTTGTCATGAAGAAGAATAACTTTATCATGTCTTTGCTCATATTTTGGTTTTTTTCTCGCAACGCACGGCTCAAACGAATTAATTGTAGCCGATACTAATCACTCGTAATGGAATCGCCAGATCGTTTCAGCAGCTCATAATAAACAAGATCCTTTTGATCCCACCAGATACAGAGCATGATCTTCGAATCATGAATGTTCGGCCGTGGTGTTGGTGTTGAGGTCGATGGCAACGATTGGCTTAGCGTAGTATTTTTTCTTCTTGGAGTTGTCGTAGAATATCTACTTCTCATCTCCAGTCACAATCCGATGCAAAAAATCTTTTCTCTGTTGTCTTTGAATCAGCTGTTCACAAATGAAAAATCGTCTTTCAACGTCTCTCGGTTTCAGTTCATAAGGTTCATTCAATTTCCTTGTTTTTGAATCATTCCCATGATTCTCAATCGTACAGAAACGGCTTGTTGAGTTACCCCCAATGATTCTGCAAGCTCCTCTTGCGTTTGACTCTGATCTTCTTCGAGTAATGCCTCTTGTCTTCGAATTGTTTTGGCTGTCCAGAGCGAGGCTTATCTTCAACGCTGAAATCCATCTTTGAAACGTCGAAATCATTCCTTACATGATTTATCAATTGGAGCAATGTCATCATAAACTTCGACAAGCATTCGATGGGTTTCAGCCGCACTTTTCTTCCAATTAAAGCAGAAAATCAAAACCTCCCACAAATGCTGCTTGGTTAACACACAATATTCGACATTTCAAACACAGTAAAAATCAAAGTTTTTGTATGAAACTCAAAGCGATATAAACTGAATATTATTAGCAGATGTTTAACCTCTCTGAAACCGCCAAAATCAGCTGTCACTATGAACCATTCACAACAGCTGAAGCCATCTTTAGGGAAACGGACCGAACTAATTTGTACTCCCAATATAATTTTAAAATATTCTTATTATTTACTTGAAACAAGTAATATTTACGTAACATTTTTTTGTATGCATGCTTCAGAACGAATTAAATTGAGTTTTTTCCAACAGTTCTTAATCATTTCCCAATTTTCGCAATCGAGATTATTTCTAATCGATATTATTTCTAAAGCGCCGAATATAGCCATCGATAGTTTGGCGCGCGAGGAATGGAACAAACAATTGGCTCACTGCCACGAGACTGTAAACGCGCCTGCTAGGCCATCCCCGCTTCTCAAGGCTTGCGTCGTACGCTCAGTGGGCCATATCTTCAGCAATAGTAAGTCGGACGGATGCGCGTATTCGGCTATCTTTAAACGTTAATATCATTAATTATTACAAAATGGTAGAGGACTTTTCAACTCAATTTAGTGCGTTTTATCTGCTCGGGACGAGTGGGGCCATATATTCATGATACCCTGTATATATATATATACATATATATATATATATATTGTGTTTATATAGATATATACAAACCACCCGTACCATCCTTTTATCTTCGCAAAATAAGATCCAATCATAAAAGTGTTCGGACAAAAATTGTAGAGCTTGAAAAGATCTATTTACTGATCTTGTCTGTTTGACTTTAGGTGGCATCGCCAAGATCAGATCAAAGTCACGTCGATTTTTTTTTAATGGAACATTTATTCCAGAATGTAATAGCCGATGACAAGAGCTTTCCAAAACACTATAATAAAGTTATTTTTTATTAAGTACTTTTCGTGAAGAAACATGATACAATTATTGATTTTCACTTTAAATGTCTCTGGACGGAAAAGTATTGAATTTAGAGAGTCGTGCCCATTGAGATTTTTTTTTGTTCGAGGACAACATACTTTAATTCCAGCCAATTTAACCGAGGAACATTTTCCATAAGAGCTATGCGGGATCCTTTCAATTAATTTTTTTGATAAAATCACAAAAGATAAAAATTAAAAGTATTATAAATTTACAATTTTTAAATGTATTTTTGTACAATGTAAAGTCATGGATTTTTTCTTCATCTTTTTTAAAAATATATTTTTATATATAATTAAATATGTGAAAATAAAATTTAAATTATATAAAATTTACTAAAAAAAAATTTGTAATTAGAACAAGTAAAAAATGCAAGCTATTTTAAATTAATTGAATAATATTTTGACAATTTGTTTTTTTAAGCTAATTTTCATCTTTAACTGTTTATAATTTATAAAAAGTATCTAGAACAACGTAGAAAAAAACTGTTTTTTTACCTATTTCTAATTTTATCTATTTCTAATTTTACCTATTTCTTGCTTGCTGAATATAAATATACTGTGTGTAAGTTTGATTATTACGTCATAATTTTGAGAAAAATGGCATTAAACAGACAAAAAATGGCAATATACTTTTAAAATTGTAATCTTTTTTTATTATAGTTTATTTTATCAATTTTATATTGCTTTTTGATTTAGCATGTGCTGATTATATTTTTGATTTTTAAGTTTTAAATTCGAAAAATACAATAAAAATATGTACCACACAATTATTTTATATATTTAATTTTCTCATGATCTATAAAATATAAATGCGGATTTAAAGTGTATAGTGAAAAAATATATATACTCTCCCATGATAATAAGACATTATTGTTGGATATTACATCGTGAAAATTGAAAAGCAAGATATAAAAAGAAAAACTACAGACATAACTTCTCTGGCAAAAAGAAAAGGAATTATTAAACCTTTTATATAAGATTTAAATATAAATAATTAAGTTGTTAAAATTTTTGTAAATTTTTTGCAATCTATTTTAAATAACTTAAAATATATTGTAAGAGTTAATTTTTTGTCGTAAAAGAATTGTAGGTGATGTAGCAAAGAGATTATTTTCAGATTTAGATCAATAAATTACTATAAAATCATATATATATTTTTAATAATATATATTTTTAAAATAACTTTTAATTAATTTTATTGCCATGTTATGGATGCTTCAACATTAAAAAAAGTAATTCAAAATTGACCAAAATTCCACAACTTACCTCTTGCGGATAATTAGTAATAGTTAATCTCTGACTCTGTTTTCCTGCAAATCTATTAATTATAGCTGTAAAACCCCATGAAAAACGAAATTCTAAATCTTCATGGAAGTCTGCACATAAATTGTCACAATTCAGTCGATAAAATATTTCGAATGGTTCTCGTCGTGGTAAAATGTTAAGCGACATTTGTCTTTTATTTTCAGGCAATAAGCTTGACATTCTTTCGGTCATTTCTCGCTGCGAATTTTCCATGTTTAATGCTAAAGCAGTACTGAGTCTGGCTCGTAAATTTGATCCTGAAATATAAAAATAACAAACATTTTTGAACTTGTCAAATAACATCCTCATATCAAATCATCAAATATATAATTCAAACTCACCTAAACCATTTTCTACGTGTGTATGAAGTTCCCGTTTATATACATTTAAAACAAGTGGTTCAGGATGAAATGGAACACTAAATTCATCTATTAGGACAGCTAATCGCCGAATTTCTTCATTTAAAGCTTTAGAAACCTTTTGCTCTACATCTTCTACCATATGATGAATTTTATCTTTCATTTCTTGAGTCAACAGCATTAATTGTTGCTCTGTAAAATTTAATTTATCATGAAGCTCTTTCTTGATATTTAACTGTTCACTTCGCATTTTTTGTGTTCGTTCTAATATCTCATCTAATGCTTGACGTATTTTCCTGCAATAAATGATAAAAATGATCAGTTTACATTTTCTTGTAAATATAAAAAACGGATTTCTAATATTTCTTCTTCTTCTTTCCGATATCAATTAAAAGATATTAAAAAAAAAAATATATATATATATAGAGATCTTTCGCTTTCTTACATTGCAATATGTTTGCCACGCTGAGAATGTTGTTCAAATTTAGTCTTTACTGCAGATTTTGAGATACATTCTTCAAATTTTTTTTCAAAATCTTGAAATTCAAAATATCGATTTTGGAAACCTTCTGCTAGCGCACCATCTGTATATAGTATGAATAAATTAATTTATTTAAAATTAGTTAATCTAAAAATGATTTTAAATTGTAAAAAAACTATAAATAACATAAGTAATTTTGGAACACATACTATGAGCAGGTTGCCCACGTTGTTCTTGCATACGAGCTTGAAGAGTTTCTTTTGCAGAAATAAAAAAAACGCGTTCTTCAGCATCTTTTGGATTATAAACTTTTAATTCCCTTGATAAAAAATCAATAGCACGTTCTTGATGTTGTGCTCTTACCTACACATAAAAAATATATAAATAAATTAAAATTTGTATTCGTAATTAAATAATATAATTCGTAATTTAATCGTAATATTAAGTATTGAATTTTATTGATATATTATTATTTTATAGGGGATTCAATTAGATAGTGTAGATGTATGCGTTTGTGCATTCAATCTGAATATAACGAGAATAATTAAGCTCTAAACACAATGCAAGGTAACAGCAATAACAATAGCAATAGCGATAGCGATAGGAACAACATTAAGGAATGCATGTATCCGTGCACACAAAAGGGAACACAAAATAAGACAATAGCAATAAATTTTCGACGAGTTGGAATTCTATGTCTGTTATAGCCACCAATAGCTACCAATCAGCGTTCAGATTTTTCATTATATTTATGTGTGTTATAATTTTGAAGTAGATGAAAGAATATACTACAATCTATATATCAGATCAGATTAATTGACATTTTTATTTCTTTCACGACATTATGCAAAGGAAGGCGACAATTATATATCATTTATTTCTCTACCATTCCTATTGCTATTCTTATCACTGCCTCGCATTATGTTTAGGGCTTAATTGTTGTGAAAAATGACTTGTGTCATCTATTAACTAAGATTGATAAGAGTCCTCCTTTAATTTCATTTGTAATTGATAAAGTTACTAGAAAGTCCATGATTGGTTCAATAATGGACAGCAAATCAGAGTGTAGCACTAAAAATGTGTTTTTATGTTTTTATATACATAGTTCTTTTCTCGGGCTCTCATTGCTTTTGTAATTTTCTGTTTTATATTAATGTATGATGATCTTCTCTTGTACGATTGACAAAATTCCCATTGTAGTCCGAATAAAAGATGTATAATTTAGTACAATTAAGTGTAATTTACATCATAATAATAATAAGATACTTAAACGAGTGAGTAAAGATTAGAGATAGAGAAAGCAAACTAAAGAAGAAGATAGGCACAAGGTGAAAAGGTTTTGGACATGTTTACAAGAATAAAGATTGAAGGTATGGCATCAAAGAACACAGGAAGTTCAAGTAAAACGGATAAGGGAAAGACAATAGAAAGTAAACAGAGAAAATTGTGCTTTGGGAAAAAAGAAGATTAAAATAAAGAAAAGAGAATTGAGCAACAAAAATTGGTGGGCAACAGAAATTATATCAAGAAGAAAAGGGAAGTACAAAAAATATATAAAATATAGAAACAAGTTAGACAGACAGAAGTATGAGAAAAAAAAAGCTGAGAGAATTGAAGAAGAGACAAAAAGAAAAAAGAGAAGAAGAAGTGGAGCTGAAAAATCTGAAGAGAGAAGCAGATATCTGGAGATACAAAAATAATTCTGATAATACGGAATGTTTCAGTTGCGTTTCAGGGACTTTCCAATGTTACAATTATGTACCATCACATTTGTAATATCTCTGAAACTATCTTCTTTAAAATATTACAATTACAATATTTCTATAATTACCTTGAATAAAATCTTATATCTGAAATGTTTCTGTATAGTTCTTTCGTAAATGCAAAGTTTCTGGGAGATGTCTAAAACCCCCAATTAATAAATGCAGATATAGCATTATCCGATCGATCACACACACATATATATACAAGATTCCAGAATAATCTCCAAATACTTCACACACACAGGACAGATAGAACGGACTAAACTGAATAAAAAAATCTATCATTTTGCAACTTTCCCCATAATCAACGAGATATTCACTTTTATTTCTCAAATAACTTCTCTAGGACATTTCCCCCCTAAGGTAATACAAAAAATATATATATCATTGCGACGGATAAGACCCCCTCCCCTCCCCCCCGCACTTCATGGGCACTGAAGTTACAAGGCTGAGGAACGCTTCTCCCAACACATACAGAAAAATATTACATAAATATTATTTATTATTTCAAGTAAATAATGTAAGTGTATTTTAAAATTATGTTATCAAGAAAATATTGTTTATAAAGATAATCATCACTCAAAAACAAAAAGAATAAAAGTTGTATCTTCTCGTAGCACTAGAATATTTTTTTGCATATACGTACACAAATAATAATCGGCGCATCCAAAGAAAGATTTCGTCAATTCAAAGAAATGATTCTTTGTTGCGAAGAAAAAATTTCTTTAATTAACGTCATTTCTTTAATTTAAACATCACTTTTTTAAATCAAATAATTCAAAGATTTGGATATAGTTCTGAATGAACTCCCTCTCGCGATTGATCTGAAATTTTACATATACAAGTTGTTTTTAATATAAGAAATAAAAAACCTATAATCTCAATTTTAGGAAATGAATAAAAAATGTTTATATTTATTGATTAAAATCCGGACTATCCTTTGAAACACACATTCTTCTTTACGTAGGATTGAGTTGAAAGGACTGTGTCCAGTTTGGGCTCCGACTGAACAGCATTGAGAGTTAGGATTGTAGAGCATAAAAAAAGAATTAAAAAGTTCCATAACTTTAGTTAATTAAAAGTTAATAACTTTGTAAAATAAGTCCCTTGAGTACTACAACAGTTCGCTATTATGATCATATATGTGTACCATGTAGGATTGGTTTTATTCGATTTCTCGAATTATCTATATGTATAGGAATATGTTCAATCTTGACAAAGACAACTAAATTTTTTTTGGACCCCTCCAAATGAATAGTTATAAGTGATATACATATTAATAGATGAAGAGGAGAAAGAGACACTCAAAGTATGAAACAAAAGATTTTAATTGACAAAAAGGCTGCGGCTCAGTATTTTTAACTATAACGTTTTCATCTCTTGTTTCACTGCGTTCTCTTTTATAATGACATCAACAGGCATGACATATATATTTAAATATGTTGAGTGGAGCTCTTGTGGAACTACTAGACTCCAAGAAATCTAGCACTTCTTCAGCCAACAAATGTTTATGCGACTGGTTTTTTTAAATATTTTTCACATTATCTACAGTGAATATCATCGCGATCAGTAGCTGCTTCAGAGTAAATCAGCTTTTGGTATGGTAATCCCTTTTGGTATAGTTTATCCTGATTCATACATTCGCCGCTTATCCATCCCCCCTCCTTCCAGGACGTCGCCGTAATTACAAGCAAATCCGAATTTCTGTGACATGATGGCACGAATCGCGACAGAAACTTAGCCGGATTAATAAACTGTATCAAATAAACATTTTAGATATTACTTCAATGTCTTTGGTCCGTTACTGCCGTCACCGCGGAGAGCTGTTCTGGACGCAGAGAAATTGAATAAGACTAGTGGTACATAATCATAATATTAAATTTTGGAGTTCTAGCACTCAGAAAATTTTTTCTAAGTTTGACTTATGAAATTTTTGATTCTCTTTCGATACCTTAAAATTTTAGGCATGTCTCAAAGTCGTTCACCCGGGGCCCAATTTCTCCTATAAAACTAGACACAATCTTTTGTTACTCAGGGATTTTCGGAGTCGCTAATGACGAATTTGACGTCAGATTTTCAAAATTCAAAATAACGGATCGATCTGCAAAATGTAACCTGATCAGAATGAAACCGGATACTCGGGAGGTTTTCGAAGTAGTCAATTATGAATCTGACCTCAGATTTTCGAAATTCAAAATGGCGGATCAATGCAAAAAAATGATTTGATCTTGATAATTATAAAATTGTATAATTTTGACTTCAAATTCATAATCACTTCAAATATTCATCAGTCATATTTGCAATTTTACTTTTTTTGACTTCAGATTTGAATTTTTTGGATCTATCGATCATCAATAAAGACTATTTTAGATTGGTTCCATAAAAAAACATTTTCGGGCAGATATTTATCGTTTTATTCGAATCATCCTACATGCCATAAGAATTATATATAGTTTACAATAAAATTGAAAACAAGACCTATTTATGTTAAATATTCACGAGTGCTAATTGTGCACAAGTGACAATTGCGTCACGAACGTGCGATAAATACAAACGATTAAATAATTGACGAAACAGATTAAATTAAATATACTCAACTTTACTTTTAAATAATTAATATAAAAGAAGATCCTGAACGAATATAAATAGTAAATTTAAGGCACGGAAGCTGTCGTCACCCGATATGCGGAATGCTGACAGGCCAAAAAGAACGTTTCAACGATGACCCGAAAAATCCTGAATATAAGCGCGACTGCGGACGCGGTCGTCGATCAGAAATTTAAAGAAACTTGTCGTGTTATTCTGCCCGTTTAAATGAATTTGTAACAGTATGTACCGCGTGGAAAATGCTAAGTGGAAATGTAACGAAATAACCACTGTTGTTATGTGTAAAGTTAAATATATTTTATATTTTAAAACTACAAAGCTACTATTCAATAATCCTCCGAAGTCCTCTGTGGATTCTGAACTGTGCCGTGAAATACCGGCACAACAATACATTACTTTAAATACGAAGCATCATTATGGTCTGAATGTTAAGATGTTGAACTATTATATATATTCATATAAATGAATTAATTTTAAAAAAATAATTGTGTGCCAATGATTATCGGACTTTCAACGCAATCAATCTGAAATATTAATAATCCTCCCAAATTTCCCAAATTAATCTTAAACAACTGCAACAAAATTATTGCAAAAAATATTGTCTCGGCCAGGAGTCGAATCCGGATCTCTTGCATTCCTAAGCCTTTAGACTACCGAGACCTTAGCAATATTCTTCACAATAACCGATACGAATAGAGAGTTACGCATTGTAGACGAGCATGTATAAACAATAAGATTGGAAACAAAACCGTTTATCTTGATCAAAAAGTTCCCGGAATTCATTCAGAAAATTCAAAATACAAGTTTTATTCATCAAAAGTGATATTGTCCCCTTCAAAGTACTCCCCATCGACTGCAACGCACTTATGCCAGCGCTTGATCCAGCTCTCGAAACATTTCTGGAACTCTATTGTCGGTATAACCATCAGAGTCTTCGATTTTTCATTACCTTCTTTCGGCTGTTAAAACGCGTAATGGTTTTTTCATGCCATT